TGAAGACGGAAACCTACACTTTTTTTGCTGTGATCACCACCACAGCGAGGGTTAGGTACACACTTACAGTATGATCACCACCACAGCGAGGGTTAGGTACACACTTACAGTATGATCACCACCACAGCGAGGGTTAGGTACACACTTAAAGTATGATCACCACCACAGCGAGGGTAAGGTACACACTTACAGTATGATCACCACCACAGCGAGGGTTAGGTACACACTTACAGTATGATCACCACCACAGCGAGGGTAAGGTACACACTTACAGTATGATCACCACAACAGCGAGGGTTAGGTACACACTTACAGTATGATCACCACCACAGCGATGATTAGGTACACACTTACATTAGGAACACCACCACAGCGAGGGTTAGGTACACACTTACAGTATGATCACCACCACAGCGAGGGTTAGGTACACACTTACAGTATGATCACCACCACAGCGAGGGTAAGGTACACACTTACAGTATGATCACCACCACAGCGAGGGTTAGGTACACACTTACATTAGGAACACCACGACAGCGAGGGTTAGATACACACTTACAGTATGATCACCACCACATCGAGGGTTAGGTACACACTTACAGTATGATCACCACCACAGCGACGGTTAGGTACACATTTACATTAGGAACACCACCACAGCGAGGGTTAGGTACACACTTACATTAGGAACACCACCACAGCGAGGGTTAGGTACACACTTACAGTATGATCACCACCACAGCGAGGGTTAGGTACACACTTACAGTATGATCACCACCACAGCGAGGGTTAGGTACACACTTACAGTATGATCACCACCACAGCGAGGGTTAGGTACACACTTACATTAAGAACACCACCACAGCGAGGGTTAGGTACACAATTACAGTATGATCACCACCACAGCGAGGGTTAGGTACACACTTACAGTATGATCACCACCACAGCGAGGGTTAGGTACACACTTACATTAGGAACACCACCACAGCGAGGGTTAGGTACACACTTACAGTATGATCACCACCACAGCGAGGGTTAGGTACACACTTACAGTATGATCACCACCACAGCGAGGGTTAGGCACACTTACATTAGGAACACCACCACAGCGAGGGTTAGGTACACACTTACAGTATGATCACCACCACAGCGAGGGTTAGGTACACACTTACAGTATGAACACCACCACAGCGAGGGTGAGGTACACACTTACAGTATGAACACCACCACAGCGAGGGTTGGGTACACACTTACATTAGGAACTCCACCACAGTGAGGGTTAGGTACACACTTACAGTATGATCACCACCACAGCGAGGGTAAGGTACACACTTACAGTATGATCACCACCACAGCGAGGGTTAGGTACACACTTACATTAGGAACACCACGACAGCGAGGGTTAGATACACACTTACAGTATGATCACCACCACATCGAGGGTTAGGTACACACTTACAGTATGATCACCACCACAGCGACGGTTAGGTACACATTTACATTAGGAACACCACCACAGCGAGGGTTAGGTACACACTTACATTAGGAACACCACCACAGCGAGGGTTAGGTACACACTTACAGTATGATCACCACCACAGCGAGGGTTAGGTACACACTTACAGTATGATCACCACCACAGCGAGGGTTAGGTACACACTTACAGTATGATCACCACCACAGCGAGGGTTAGGTACACACTTACATTAAGAACACCACCACAGCGAGGGTTAGGTACACAATTACAGTATGATCACCACCACAGCGAGGGTTAGGTACACACTTACAGTATGATCACCACCACAGCGAGGGTTAGGTACACACTTACATTAGGAACACCACCACAGCGAGGGTTAGGTACACACTTACAGTATGATCACCACCACAGCGAGGGTTAGGTACACACTTACAGTATGATCACCACCACAGCGAGGGTTAGGCACACTTACATTAGGAACACCACCACAGCGAGGGTTAGGTACACACTTACAGTATGATCACCACCACAGCGAGGGTTAGGTACACACTTACAGTATGAACACCACCACAGCGAGGGTGAGGTACACACTTACAGTATGAACACCACCACAGCGAGGGTTGGGTACACACTTACATTAGGAACTCCACCACAGTGAGGGTTAGGTACACACTTACAGTATGATCACCACCACAGCGAGGGTTAGGTACACACTTACGGTATGATCACAACCACAGCGAGGGTCAGGTACACACTTACATTAGGAACTCCACCACAGCGAGGGTTAGGTACACACTTACAGTATGATCACCACCACAGCGAGGGTTAGGTACACACTTACATTAGGAACACCACCACAGCGAGGGTTAGGTACACACTTACAGTATGATCACCACCACAGCGAGGGTTAGGTACACACTTACAGTATGATCACCACCACAGCGAGGGTTAGGTACACACTTACAGTATGATCACAACCACAGCGAGGGATAGGTACACACTTACAGTATGATCACCACCACAGCGAGGGTTAGGTACACACTTACAGTATGATCACCATCACAGCGAGGGTTAGGTACACACTTACATTAGGAACACCACCACAGCGAGGGTTAGGTACACAATTACAGTATGATCACCACCACAGCGAGGGTTAGGTACACACTTACAGTATGATCACCACCACAGCGAGGGTTAGGTACACACTTACATTAGGAACACCACCACAGCGAGGGTTAGGTACACACTTACAGTATGATCACCACCACAGCGAGGGTTAGGTACACACTTACAGTATGATCACCACCACAGCGAGGGTTAGGCACACACTTACATTAGGAACACCACCACATCAAGGGTTAGGTACACACTTACAGTATGAACACCACCACAGCGAGGGTTAGGTACACACTTACAGTATGAACACCACCACAGCGAGGGTGAGGTACACACTTACAGTATGAACACCACCACAGCGAGGGTTGGGTACACACTTACATTAGGAACTCCACCACAGTGAGGGTTAGGTACACACTTACAGTATGATCACCACCACAGCGAGGGTTAGGTACACACTTACAGTATGAACACCACCACAGCGAGGGTTGGGTACACACTTACATTATGATCACCACCACAGCGAGGGTTAGGTACACACTTACAGTATGATCACCACCACAACGAGGGTTAGGTACACACTTACAGTATGATCACCACCACAGCGAGGGTTAGATACACACTTACAGTATGATCACAACCACAGCGAGGGTTAGGTACACACTTACAGTATGATCACCACCACAGCGAGGGTTAGGTACACACTTACAGTATGATCACCACCACAGCGAGGGTTAGGTACACACTTACAGTATGATCACCACCACAGCGAGGGTTAGGTACACACTTACAGTATGATCACCATCACAGCGAGGGTTAGGTACACACTTACATTAGGAACACCACCACAGCGAGGGTTAGGTACACAATTACAGTATGATCACCACCACAGCGAGGGTTAGGTACACACTTACAGTATGATCACCACCACAGCGAGGGTTAGGTACACACTTACATTAGGAACACCACCACAGCGAGGGTTAGGTACACACTTACAGTATGATCACCACCACAGCGAGGGTTAGGTACACACTTACAGTATGATCACCACCACAGCGAGGGTTAGGCACACACTTACATTAGGAACACCACCACATCAAGGGTTAGGTACACACTTACAGTATGAACACCACCACAGCGAGGGTTAGGTACACACTTACAGTATGAACACCACCACAGCGAGGGTGAGGTACACACTTACAGTATGAACACCACCACAGCGAGGGTTGGGTACACACTTACATTAGGAACTCCACCACAGTGAGGGTTAGGTACACACTTACAGTATGATCACCACCACAACGAGGGTTAGGTACACACTTACAGTATGATCACCACCACAGCGAGGGTTAGATACACACTTACAGTATGATCACAACCACAGCGAGGGTTAGGTACACACTTACAGTATGATCACCACCACAGCGAGGGTTAGGTACACACTTACAGTATGATCACCACCACAGCGAGGGATAGGTACACACTTACAGTATGATCACCACCACAGCGAGGGTTAGGTACACACTTACAGTATGATCACCATCACAGCGAGGGTTAGGTACACACTTACATTAGGAACACCACCACAGCGAGGGTTAGGTACACACTTACAGTATGAACACCACCACAGCGAGGGTTAGGTACACACTTACAGTATGAACACCACCACAGCGAGGGTGAGGTACACACTTACAGTATGAACACCACCACAGCGAGGGTTGGGTACACACTTACATTAGGAACTCCACCACAGTGAGGGTTAGGTACACACTTACAGTATGATCACCACCACAGCGAGGGTTAGGTACACACTTACAGTATGAACACCACCACAGCGAGGGTTGGGTACACACTTACATTAGGAACTCCACCACAGCGAGGGTTAGGTACACACTTACAGTATGATCACCACCACAACGAGGGTTAGGTACACACTTACAGTATGATCACCACCACAGCGAGGGTTAGATACACACTTACAGTATGATCACAACCACAGCGAGGGTAAGGTACACACTTACATTAGGAACTCCACGACAGCGAGGGTTAGGTACACACTTACAGTATGATTACCACCACAGCGAGGGTTAGGTACACACTTACAGTAAGAGCACCACCACAGCGAGGGTCAGGTACACACTTACAGTAAGAACACCACCACAGCGAGGGTTAGGTACACACTTACAGTATGAACACCACCACAGCGAGGGTCAGGTACACACTTACAGTAAGAACACCACCACAGCGAGGGTCAGGTACACACTTACAGTAAGAACACCACCACAGCGAGGGTTAGGTACACACTTACAGTATGATCACCACCACAGCGAGGGTTAGGTACACACTTACAGTATGATCACCACCACAGCGAGGGTTGGGTACACATTTACATTAGGAAATCCACCACAGCGAGGGTTAGGTACACACTTACAGTATGAACACCACCACAGCGAGGACAACAACCAGGATGAGGAACACAGGGACAAGTATCGCAACCAGGTCTGGTGTTGTGTCTGTGTTGGATTCACTCGGTGCTGCCGACGATGTGTCTGTGGGAAAATACAGACAATGATATGAGACGCACAAAATCAGCAATAACAAGCACATATGATTCTTAACGTCACTTTAACCCATATGAGTCTTAGTTTATATAGTGTACTCACGTGTGCTGTATTCCCTGGGTGGTGTCGCCGACGTGCCTGTCAGACACAGATGTATTCAGCGTTATTAGTATGTGATATCGATACAACGATACATATAACTAGTCATCTTTCAGTTTGATATGCTCAAGTTCTTGATCGTTTGAGAAAAAATACATAGATACTGAAATCAGGTAGCAAACGTACATATACTAAGTACTATGTATGAAACTGATATAAAGAAGATGATGGACTAACGTGGACTTTATTATTTTATTATATATATATATATATATATATATATATATATATATATATATATATATGAAATAATAGCACAGAGAGATTGTGATACAGGCAAATTGTATGAAGCGTTGTATTTGGTATTTGTGAGTGCATGACCGTCTTATATTTGGTTGATAAAAGTCAAACATTATCTGTTCAGTTTCCTTTCCGATAATAACATGTGAAATGTAAAATTAATAAACAATGGTAATAAATTCGAATAATAATATAGCCAAAACTTTCAATTGTTCATATCACATTCCTAAGATAACATCTGATATTTGTTTCTTTGTTGTCAACGACACAATGAACAATTTTCAAGCTATATGACGATGGTCTGTAAAGAATCGTGAACCAGGCAATACCATAATGCATATTGATCTATCCTATAACGGAGAAATGCCATTCATCAACGAGTGAGTGAGTGAGTATGGTTTTACGCAGCTTTTACCAATATTCCAGCAATATCACGGCGGGGGACACAAGTAATGAGATTCACACATGGTACCCATGTTGGGAATCGAACCCGGGTATTCGGCGTGACAAGCGAACGCTTTAACCACTATGCTACCCGACCACCCCTTTCATCAACAAAGTCATCGACCATGACCTTCTGATACGTTTCTCGCCTCTGAAGACAGGCATGGGTTGCTGAAGACTAATTCCAATACAAATCTTCTTGGGTTGAAGATCTAACAAATCAATAACGTTGTGTGTATGTTTCTTGGTAATAATTGCCTGATTTAGTAGCATTCATATATCCATCCGTATATACATATTATCCATTCAAAGTTCAATGGGTTATATTTCTTCAGATAGAGAGCAGTTATGAATATTTTGCCTGTCGATTTTGTTTTTGCATAAAAGTGATGAGAATTTCTTCTACTGTTTAAGAAAAGAATCAGCTTATTTTCATACCTGGAGCAACGTTGCAAAACTGCCCTTTGTAATCTCCACTACAACCGTTCGTGCAGATGCCATTTTGGTAATTACAGACGCCCCCCTTACAGTTCTTGCTGCAAGCTTTATCACACAGGTCATGGAACCACCCCGGCACACACCCCTCAGAACACTTCCCTGTCACCTTGTGGCAGTGTCTGAGGTTTCTGCCTGGGTTGGTGAAACAGTTCAGAGGGCAATCATTCTTGCAGTGTTCACCATACTTCCCCCATTCACAACTGTCTTGACCGTGTGATTCGAATACTGAAAGGTTGAAAAAAAGCAAACATTATAACTTTGTTTCTTGATATTTTAAAATGGCGACCATACACATAGTTGCAGCTCTAACGTCGTAGGTTGAGAAAAACTTGTAAAAAAACAACTGCTGTCTGAACATGCAGTCATATTGATAATCGGATACTATTCAATAATGGTCAAATAACCAATTACCTATTTCAACTTGTACCGTCCGTTCCCGTGGGTTTATTTGTTGGGTATATAATGTACATGATTTTGGTCGTGTTTCATCTTTTCCCGTACATCCAGTATTATCACAATAGTGATTTACAAACATATTCTTTTCATGGGAATAGTATGATAGGTACTTATTGAAATGGCTCTCTTGCATTTAATGACTTGCATCAAACTGTATCGCTTGGTAATTTAGGTTTATGCCATCAATGTGACGCAACAGAGTAATCATGTATAAAACTATGTCATGTAATGTGTTCCACAATGTTAGAACAATGTAGCAGCTGATACTATAGTAAATGTTTGAGTAGAGTTGTCAGCACATTAAATGTTTACATTTTCTATGAAAATATTGTTTTTATTATTAGTTGAGAAGGTGGATATGTTCAAATCTGTTATGTCCAAGGGAGCAAGTGCCTTTAATACTCACCGACTATCATCAGAAAATGTAGGACTACCTGCATGACTCTGGTACATACGGTGCTGCAGCGCCTGAAAAGGGCAATAAAAACAATGCTTAGATGTACAAGACACATTGTGCTACAGATACATAGGAACATTGCGCTAAGTTTAACTGTGAACAGTATGCTGTTTTATACATGATGTTTTTAAATATGTTGTTGTATATTTTTGCTCACAACGGTTCACGATGACTCTGATGACAAAACCTTGGTGTGATATGTCGATCTGCATAGATAATTAACACTTATAAAATGTAATGTGAACATAATTTGCACTGTGATATCTGCTCCCTGTGGCCCTCTCCATCTCAAATCTCCATATATGGCTTCTACTACGTCAGCTTTTGAAACCTATATTTTCAAGCTCAAGACTAAAACCTCTTTACTGTAGTGTTTCGGTGTAAGTAGTCAATTATACTAATATAACAAAATCTTCTCACAACTGCAATAGTAAATTTACTAAGTTTCAAGTAATTATGTGCTACATATTGTCAAGTATCAAATGAAACAAACAATACAGGTGAAAGATAACATATAACTGACTTCAGTGGCATTTCAAATTTATTTGCAAAATAATGAATAGTTTTGAAACTTTTGTTTTATCACATTACGAACGGGGACGAGAAGAAAAAAGAAGATATTTCCGTACAGTCATCAACCGTGACGAGTTCTTCGAGAGTAGGTTCACGTCAAACGTCTTTGTTAATGACGTCACAGCGCAAGTGTTTCCTTGCACCCGCCGTGGCACTTTATGTACGACCAGGGTTGTGAGGGGGAGTTGAAGGGTTGTGTAATGTTAGACCACTCGGTTTCGATGTTTAATCGTCGAAATGGTAAGTTAAAACCGGACCCACCACAATGCATCAGTTCAACCCTGCACACCTGAACTCCACCAAATTACTCCCATCCACAACCCCTGTCAACTTCACACAACTCCTTACATCCCACACTCAACCCGGGACTCAGACTTACACCTCCTCAGAACCCAACACCCCTCAACACTACCTAGCATCAACACCTCAACCTCACGCTTTTTACATCAACACCGCATCTCCACACCACAATCCTGCACCTCCCCACAACAATCCAACACCATCCTGGCACAGACCTGTAACTTCCCACCACAATATTCACCTACCCTTCACATCCTTGCACCTCACCTCCACAACCCTTCAACTCCTCACCGCAATCAATTTGCCTCCCCCTCACAACCCTTCAACTCCCCACCACAGCCCTTCAACTCCCCCTCACAACCCTTCAACTCCCAAACACAGTCCTTCACCTCCCCTTCACAACCCTTCAACTCCCCACCACAACCCTTCATCTCCCCCTCACAACCCTTCAACTCCCCACCACAACCCTTCACCAACCCCTCACAACCCTTCAACTCCCACTACAGCCCTTGACCCCCCCCCCCCTCACAACCCTTCAACTCCCCACCACAGCCCTTCATCTCCCCCTCACAAACCTTCAACTCCCACTACAGCCCTTGATCCCCCCCCTCACAAACCTTCAACTCCCCCTCACAACCCTTCAACTTCCAACCACAACCCTTCACCTCCCCCTCACAACCCTTCAACTCCCCACTACAGCCCTTGATCCCCCCTCACAACCCGTCAACTCCCCACCATAATCCTTAACCTCCCCCTCTCAACCCGTCAACTCCCCACTACAGCCCTTGACCTCCCTCTCACAACCCTTCAACTCCCCACCACAGCCCTTCACCTCCCCCTCACAACCCTTCAACTTCCAACCACAACCCTCCACCTCCCCCTCACAACCCTTCACCTCCGCACCACAGCCCTTCAACTCCCCCTCACAACCCTTCAACTCCCCCTCACAACCCTTCAACTTCCAACCACAACCCTCAACCTCCCCCCACAAACCTTCACCTCCCCACCTCCCCACCCCAGCTAACACACGGCGTTGTCACAACGTTGTGGAAAGGTTGTGGATTGATAACGTCAACGTTCAACGTTATTTCACAACGTTATTACAACGTTGCACATTCACGTTGTGAAAACGTTGTGCATCGGACATCGCACAACGTTTTGTAACTACGTTTCTGAAACGTCGGTAATACGTTATAGAGTTTGCTTCTTGATAGTCATAAAGGAATAGAACTGCTTTATCAAAATCAACATGAATTTGTCAGAATACCAAGGCAGTAATGCATTACCTTTCTGTATATTCGGCATTTGAATTTTCATCTCTTAATGCTAAAATTTCCAGAACGTAATTGCGTATCTCTATTACAACGTTAGTATGACGTTACATTGTAACGTTATTCCACAACGTAACAACAACGTTGCAAATTAACGTTGTGATAACGTTATGCTTTGGACATTACAACACTTTTTGTACTTCCCGCCCACAACTCTTCATCTCCCCACCACAATCAATTACCTCCCACCCACAACCCTTCAACTCAACACCACAACCCTTCACCACCCCCTCACAACCATTAACCTCCCCACCACAATCAATTACCTCCCCCTCACAACCCTTTACCTCCCCACCACAATCAATTACATCCCCCCCCACAACCCTTCACCTCTCCCTCACAAACCTTCACCTCCCCACCACAATCAATGACCTCCCCTTCACAACCCTTCACATCCCCCTCAAAGCTCTTCACCTCCCCACCACAATCATTTATCTCCCCACCACAACCCTTCACCTCACCACCACAATAAATTACCTCCCCCTCACAACCCTTCACCTCCCCACCACAATCAATTACCTCCCCCCCCACAACCCTTCACCTCCCCCTCACAAACCTTCACCTCCCCACCACAATCAATTATCTCCCCACCACAACCCTTCACCTCACCACCACAATAAATTACCTCCAAACCAGAATCAATTAACCCCCCCCCCCCCCCTAATCAATTACCTCCCCCCCCCTCCCACAACCCTTCATCTCCCCACCACAATCAATTATCTCCCCACCACAATCAATTACCTCAACCTCACAACCCTTCAACTCCACACCACAATCACTTACCTCCCCTAACAACCTTCCACCTCCTCACCACAATCAATCACCTCCCCTCACAAACATTAACCTCCCCACCACAATCACTTACCTCCCCCACACAACCAATAACCTCCCACCACAATCAATAACCTCCCCTTCACAACTCTTAACCTCCCCACCACAATCAATTACCTCCCCATCACAACCTTTCACCTCGCCCTCACAACCCTTCACCTCCACCTCAAAACCCTTAACCTCCCCACCGCAATCAAATACATCCCCGTCACAACCCGAAAGCTCCCCACCACAATCAATTACCTACCCCTGACAACCCTTCACCCCCCTACTACAATCAACTACCTCACCGAAAAAACCCTTCACCTCGCCCTCACAACCCTTCACCTCCACCTCAAAACCCTTAACCTCCCCACCGCAATCAAATACATCCCCGTCACAACCCGAAAGCTCCCCACCACAATCAATAACCTCCCCCTCACAAACCTTCACCTCCCCGCCACAACCCTTCACCTCCCCACAACAATCAAAAACCTCAACATCACAACCGTTCACTTCCCCACCACAATCAATTATCTCCCCCTCAAAACCCTTCACCTCCCAAACACAATCAATTATCTCAAAACCACAATCAATTACCCCCCCCCCCCCCCCCTAACAACCCTTCACCTCCCCACCACAATCAATTACATCCCACTCACAACCCTTCAACACAACTCCACAACCCTTCACCTCCCCCTCACAACCATTAACCTCCACAGCACAATCAATAACCTTCCCCTCACAACCCTTCACCTCCCGACAACAATCAATTACCTCCCCCTCACAACCCTTCAACTCAACACCACAATCAATTACCTCCCCCTCACAACCATTAACCTTCCCACCACAATCAATAACCTCCCCTTCACAACTCTTAACCTCCCCACCACAATCAATTACCTCCCCATCACAACCCTTCACCTCGCCCTCACAACCCTTCACCTCCACCTCACAACCCTTAACCTCCCCACTGCAATCAAATACATCCCCGTCACAACCCGTAAGCTCCCCACCACAATCAATTACCTCCCCCTCACAACCCTTCACCTCTCTACTACAATCAACTACCTCACCGAAAAAAACCTTCATCTCCCCACCACAATCAATAACCTCCCCCTCACAATCCTTCACCTCCCCGCCACAACCCTTCACCTCCCCACAACAATCAATAACCTCAACATCACAACCGTTCACTTCCCCACCACAATCAATTATCTCCAATTCAAAACCCTTCACCTCCCCAACACAATCAATTATCTCAATACCACAATCAATTACCCCCCCCCCCCCTCCCTCACAACCCTTCACCTCCCCACCACAATCAATTACCTCCCCCTCACAAGCTCTCATCTCCCCGCCACAACCCTTCATCTCCCCACAACAATCAATTACCTCCCCTTCACAACCTCTCATCTCTCAACACAACAATCAATTACTTCCCCTCTCACAGCCCTTCTCCTCCTTACCACAATCAATTACCTCCCACTCAGAACCTTACACCTCCCCACCACAATCAATTACCTCCCCCCCCACAGCCCTTCATCCCCCCCCCCCCCCCCCCCGGCAATCAATCACCTTCCTCTCACAACACTACACCTGCCGACCACAATCATTAACCTCCCCTCACAACCCTTCACCTCCCCACTACAATCAATTACCTCCCCCTCAAAACCCTTCATCTCCCCACCACAATCAATTATCTCACCACAACAATCATTTACCTCCCCCCTCACAACCCTTCACCACCCCACCACAATCAATTACCTCCCCCTCACAACAATTCAACTCAACACCACAATCAATTACCTCCCCCTCACAACCATTAACCTTCCCACCACAATCAATAACCTCCCCCTCAAAACCCTTCACCTCCCCCTCACAACTCTTAACCTCCCCACCACAATCAATTACCTCCCCATCACAACCCTCCACCTCCCCCTCATAAAACTTCACCTCCCCACCGCAATCAATTACCTCCCCCTCACCACCTTTCC